TCTCATCACATTCTTCAAAGTGTCTATGTCTGTCTTTCCACGTTTCTGATTGATTTATCTCTGTAGACAGAACGCTCTCTATCCCTGCACTCTCACTTCGATCTTGGCCTTCAGGTTCTTCACCACTCATGTCCTAGCCCGCTTGCCAAACGTGATTCAGAACTCATCTCTGGGACGACTCCCCTGTCCCGCCCCCCTCCTTGATTTTACACTTCTCTGAATATGTGTCTTTTCCCCAGTGCAATATTTGCTGAATGAATCTACGAGCGAATGGATTTTATACTTATTTGCCTGGAGGATATGCTGCTCTATATGTTCTATGTCATTCAAACATTTTAGCCCTTACTGTGTGCAGTCTCCGTGCCAGCCACTGTCAGGGAAATGGAGTAAAAGGGGAGATGCCTGACCTTGGTGAACTGTGACAGTGGGGTGTGTGTGTGTGTGTGTGTGTGTGTGTGTGTGTGTATCTGCATACTCGTGATCACACCTCACTCCTTTCTCTCTCTTCTCAGCACAGAAGGATTCAGTCTGTCCCATGGGGGCCGACCAGAGGCTGCCAGGCTGCTGGTGGTTGTCACTGACGGAGAGTCACACGATGGGGAGGAGCTTCCTGCAGCACTCAAGGCCTGTGAGGCTGGAAGAGTGACCCGCTATGGGATCGCGGTGAGAATCTCCTCTGGGTCTGGCGGGATGGAGGGGGGATGGTGACATTGAGGACTGGGAACTTGAAGAGAATGGGCATTAACCACTTCCCAAAGATCGGCCGTATTGCCCTTCCTTCACTTTAGTTGGCCTGCTCTAACATCCCACTCCGCATAGCTAACTGACCCCACCTGGGTCTCCTGACCCCAGGTCCTTGGCCACTACCTCCGGAGGCAGCGAGACCCCACCTCTTTCCTGCGGGAAATCAGGATGATTGCCAGTGATCCAGATGAGAGATTCTTCTTCAATGTCACAGATGAAGCTGCGCTGACTGACATTGTGGATGCACTAGGAGACCGGATCTTTGGCCTTGAGGGTAATGACTACCCTGAAGAAATGGAGGACAGAAAAGGGGGGTTCAGGGTGTAGGTGGGGTTCTGTGGTGAGCTCTTCCCTGATTCTGCTTTGATATTTTATCGTGCTCAGGGTCCCATGGAGAAAATGAAAGCTCTTTTGGGCTGGAAATGTCTCAGATTGGTTTCTCTACTCATCGGCTAAAGGTTGGACAGACTCTGACCCCTCTGTGACCCCCCTCAACATCTGACTCCTCCCAACCTGAGACTCAGGCAACTTCAACCCAGGGCTCTTCTAGATTCCTCCTTTAACCAGTGTCCATGCTGACCTTCCCATGCCTTTCCAACTGACCCCAGCATACTCTTAGTGACCTTCTCACTCCTGGGGTTTTTACTCCTCATTTCCTGTTGTCTTTTCAAGTGACCCCATCTGTTTCTGCCAAACAGGATGGGATTCTCTTTGGAATGGTGGGGGCCTATGACTGGGGGGGCTCCGTGTTATGGCTTGAAGAAGGTCACCACCTTTTCCCCCCACGGACAGCCTTGGAAGATGAGTTCCCCCCTGCTTTGCAGAACCACGCAGCCTACTTGGGTGAGTTGCAGAGGGTTGCAGGGGATGATGGGGTGAGGAGGAAATGTTTCACCAGTGGAGGGTGTGAGAGCAGTTTCTCACTGATCTGCTACTTTCCTTGGGACCTGCTCCTGTGCCTTTAGGGAACCCTCTTACTCTGACCCCATCTTTTTTCCCTTTCACCCCTGATTCCCTGCCCATTTCTAGGTTACTCTGTTTCCTCCATGCTTTTGTGGGGTGGACGCCGCCTCTTTCTCTCAGGGGCTCCTCGGTTTAGACATAGAGGAAAGGTCATCGCCTTCCAGCTTAAGGAAGATGGGGCTGTGAGGGTTGCCCAGAGCCTCCAGGGGGAGCAGGTAGGGCATGCAAGGGAGGGTGGGACCTTGGATCCTGAGGGGACTTCAGGCTGTGGGGGAGGAAGGGGAAGAGCCAAGAGTGGAGCCTGAAAAGTCTTTGCTGAATTCTGGCTGGCAGAGTCCGTCAGGGGTGTGAGGATCAGACTGGCAGGCTGGCGGGTACTTCTCACTTGTCCACAATCACCTTGTCTTTTCTCTGGGGTCCCACTCCCCACCACTCCCCAGATTGGCTCCTACTTTGGCAGTGAGCTCTGCCCGTTGGATACGGATGGGGACGGAATAACGGATGTCTTACTTGTGGCTGCCCCCATGTTCCTGGGGCCCCAGAACAAGGAGACGGGGCGGGTTTATGTGTATCTGGTGGGTCAGGTGAGACTCGCTGGCTCCCCTTGAACTTGTCTGTGGGGGGTGGAGGGAAGAAGGAAGGGAAGGCGCATCCATTCACCCATTCACGGGCTGGCTGAGAGGTTGGGACTGCCGGCTCAGCGTCTTCTGTCTTCTCCCTCCACCAGCAGTCCTTGCTGACACTCCAGGGAACACTTCAGCCGGAACCCCCCCAGGATGCTCGGTTTGGCTTTGCCATGGGTGCCCTTCCTGATCTGAACCAAGATGGTTTTGCTGATGTGGTCGTGGGGGCACCCCTGGAGGATGGGCACCACGGAGCACTGTACCTGTATCATGGCACCCGGAGCGGGCTCAGGCCCCGGCCCGCCCAGGTCAGGAGTGTCCGGATAAAGCAGGGGCATGGGTGGGAGGAAGGGGAAGGGGGGTGTGCTCCTTTTTCGTCATTGTTTCCCTGACCTGGAGACCTAAACTGGACAAGTGCTCTTTTATCAGTAGTCAAAAAGGTGAGGTGGTAGGGTAGGATGCGGGTTGTTGTACTAGGGATTCCTAGACACAGGCTAGTTTCTTTTATTCCTTCTTATTCTCTCCCTCTTTTTAAAGATTTTATTTATTTGAGACAGAGAGTGCACAAGCCAGGGGGAGAGGCAGAGGGAGAAGCAGACTCCCCCCCTGAGCAGGGAGCCCGGTGTGGGGCTCGATCCCAGGACCCTGGGATCAGGACCTGAGCCGAAGGCAGATGCTTAACGACTGAGCCACCCAGGCGCCCACTCACCCATTTTCTAGCTCTCAACTTTAGCTACAACTACTTTGAATTCCTCTACCTTCCACCCTCCCCAGCATTCCTCCTGCTTGAACTTGTCTAACACCTCTCTTATTTTAATCAAAAACAATCAGTTTTAATGTCTTTGAGAAGTTTTCCCTGACTGTCCAGGAGTGGGTCAGACATCCTCATTGTTCTTTAGCTCCTTATGCTTACCTTTAGCATAATGCTTTACTGCATACTTTATTATAATTGCATACTAATATGTCTTCTGCTCTAGTAAGTTTCCTGAAGGCAGGTCTTTGCTGCTCAATCCTTGATAGAGCATTAGAGTGTGCCTAGGGGTGATTAACACTATTTTTTGAATGGATGAGTGACTGTACCAGAGTTTTAACCAAAGCCCCTGACTTCACTGTCTTCTTTATAGACCCCCATATATGTTTTATCCCTAGAGTTTCTGCAACAGTCTCCTGAAGAAGAAGCTGGAGGATGCAAAAAGGCATAGGTACAGGGTACTGCTTTGAAGATGTAGGGTCTTAATAGAGATACAGGTTAACCTGCAATGATCTTAATTTGCAAAACATCAGAGGCTCCCCTCTGAGCATTAATGGGTGACCACTGGTCAAGCACACCCCTTGACTCCAAACGCTCTTGTTGTTTACCCAAATTATTGTCCAGTCTACCCTTGAGTCCCAACAAGTCACTCACCTGGGGCAAGGCAAGCAGGAAACTAAGTCCCCAGGCCGTCCCCAGAAGTTTCCTTCCAGCTGAGCGGGGTCCAAGCGGGTGGAGTACAGCTGCCTGACGGTCAAGTCCAATCACCACAGGCAGGAAAGCTGCAGCATACATGGCCATTAGTTTCAGGAACATGAGTGTCCGACATGCGATGTCCCCGGCCAGCCACTGAACAGTGATATTCCAGATGGCATCTAGGGGCATAACCACAAAAGTGACTAGTAAGTCAGCAGCTGCTAAGTGGGCAAAGAGTCGTCGTACAGGGGACGGGCGGATTTGGCTGGGTTGTGGCCGAGTCACTGACCAAAGGACGGTCAGGTTCCCTGCAGCTGAAGAAATGAACAGCACAATGGTCACTCCCACTCGGACCTTGGCTGCAGCTGAGAAGGTGGGCTGCTCTGAGCCCTCCACCTCTACTCCTGATCCAGCCCAGACCTCCTCCCCCGCGGCTAACCCCCGAGGGGTGCCATTGCCTGCAGACATGGTGACCTGGAAGGGAAAGGGGTGGGAGGATGAAGTGTTAGTATGAAGAGGTTAGCTTCGTCCACTGATTCTTCGCCCTCCTCCTTATTAGAATCTGAAGCTGGTTATTGCGAATTTCGTCCATTAAAGCCTCTGTCTCTGGAGACTCTCCATCTGTATCCTGGAGGTCACCTGCCCAACTGTCAGGGTCCCGCAGGGAACAGGGATCTGGTGCTGGCTTCTACTTCCATAGACTTCTTTAGCCCCTACAGCCCTGGGTTCGGCCGCAGCGGGTGTGTGTTTGTGTGTGTGTTGGGGGTGTTCTGGAAGCACCCCGGGGGCAACCCTATCCTAGCCGGGCAGGCGAGACGCTGCGGTGTCTTCTCGCCCCGCCCCTAATGCAAGCCCCGCCCCTGGTCCAGAATATTTAAAGAAGAATGTACCGCCGGAAGCGTGCTTAGAAAATAGAGGCCATCCGATAAGCGTATATTCAGACGGAGACCCACCGAAAAACACCCTGGTGTTGATCCAGAAACAAACGTTTCTTGTTCTGAGATTCCAAGGCCGGCCTCACTCGCTTTCTTTTCTGGCGATATTTGTCCCTCGCGAGACACCGTTGATCGTCCAGGAGGCGTGACTAGGAGCGGGAAGTGGGGCGGGCGCGGGGCTGCGGAGCCAGGGCTGCTGCTGTCATGGACGCCTGGGTTCGCTTCAGTGCTCAGAGCCAGGCCCGGGAGCGGCTGTGTAGGTGCGGCCCGAATAGGAATGGGGGTGGGGACAGAGGAAGATCCTCGTGAGGCGAGGTCCGTTCATACTACGGGGGTCAAAAGGGGTCAGCTCGGGCTACGGAGGCCCGGACGGACCGCCAGGTGCTGATTTGAGCGGGCCGTGAGGAGATGATTCGTTTCTGCTCACCGGAAAGATGGGGAAACTGAGGCACGAGTGGGCCAGCGGGGAGGCCGCTCAGGGTGGCCATGTCCACATAAGACCAGCACTTTACTCACTGGGCGGTGGTGGCGTGAGGAGCATTCGCCCCGCGATGGATAGCCGGACTCTGCCTCCCAGAGCTGAGTGGCTCTAAGTTCCCTTGTCCCCTCACCCTGTTGTCATCTGGGGACTCCTCTGCCTCCGCCCTGTCTTCCGGTCTCGATTCAGCTAGAGGGCCTTGAAATCTCCTAGTTCACCTATTCTGAAGAATAATCCCTCCATCTGTTCCCCACTCCCTTACATGTCATGTACATGCTCACACTGATGTGCTCGTGATGGACGCCCTGCTGCCTTCACAGTCTCCTTCAGACTTCATCATTGTCAAATCTCTTATTTTCTCAACTCCAAGTAACGCCCCCAACTCCTTTTCTAGGCTCCTTTTTATCCTTAACGCCTTTCCCTTCCCCTGGCCTGAAGGAGAAATGGTAAGAAGTGGGCATAAAGAGGAGGAACGGGAATGTTCTCAAACTGGGAAAAAGGGAAGTCAGTACTTTACTTTGGAAGACATTTTTTGAGGCGTAGGTTAGGGACATCTCCGCCTTACCTTGCTTGGCCTCTTCTCCAGGGCCGCCCAGTATGCCTGCTCCCTTCTTGGCCATGCACTACAGAAACATGGGGCCAGTCCCGAGTTACAGAAACAAATTCGACAACTGGAGGGTCATCTGAGCCTAGGAAGGAAGCGTAAGTAACCGTACTTTTGCTTTATTACTCCAACACTTTCTCCATCCCCAGCTATTCTCCTTTAGTCCTTCCTTCCTGTTCTTGACCTTCTCTGCCAGTTCTTCCCCCTTATTTGGCTCTGCATGCCTCTTGATTGAGATAAGAGAGCAGGGGTAAGGGACTAATGAAGGATTGGAGAGTATGGGGCAAGTTTGAGAAAACCAAACTGGGACACAAATTAACTAAAATTTGAAGAAAAAAAAATTTTGAACTGTTTTTCTTCTTTTTTTAAAAAATTGTAATTATTGTTTCTGTCACTTGCTTGACTTTCACCTTCTTGCTTCCTCTTTCTCTGTGTCTCACTCTCTGCCTCTACTTCCAAATCCTTGCTTCTCCTTGCTAATCTCCACAAGTTCTACGCCTGGGTAACTCAGCAGATGCCCTTGAGTCAGCCAAACGAGCTGTGCACTTATCAGATGTTGTCCTGAGATTCTGCATCACTGTTAGTCACCTCAATCGAGCCTTGTACTTCGCCTGTGACAATGTCCTGTGGGCTGGAAAATCTGGACTAGCCCCCCGTGTGGATCAGGAGAAGTGGGCCCAGCGTTCATTCAGGTTTGATATCCTTTTATCCTACAAGACCTTTTGTATTTCCCATACTGCATGGCTTGGCTTTTATGAGCAAAAGATCTTTCAGGGTCTTCCCAGAATATACACATCTTAATCACTTGGCTTCCAATCTTCATTTAGATTTTAAACTATCAGAGAATAGTGAATGGAGGCAGATGGAAGATAGATGTTCTTCTATGATGAATGACTAAGATTGGGCAAGATAAGATATTATATTGCTTAAATCTGTTTCTGTCTGTACCACAGGTTATGCCTCACAGGTTATGCCTGCTCATTCATTCATTCTAAAAATATTGAGGAGGTGTTTACTATGGGCTAGGGAATAAAGCAAAGAGTCAGATATGGTTCCCATTCTCACTAAGCTTCTAGTCTAGTGGGGGAGTCATATTAAGACAACCACCAAACCAGTTATTTGTAGAAATGTACAGGGTGTTATGAGATATATCACAAAGGGAGCTGATTTTGACTGAAAAGTCAGGGAAGAACACTTTGAGAAGTAATGTTTTAGTTCAGATTTGAAGTCGGAAAAGAAGTTAGGCAAAGTAAACAGTAGCAGAGAAGACCTTCTCAAACAGAAAATAGCCCATTCTAAGACTTTAAACCAAGAAAGATTTTGTGGAATTAGAGAAATAGAAAGAAAGTCAGCATGATGGAGAGTATTGACTGAAGGGCATAAGTTTGAACTGGAGATGTGGAGGGGACCAGATCACATGCAAGGCCTCTTCGGCAATGGTAGGATTTTTGGTTTAGTTTTGTTTAAATTTTATCCTAAGTACAATGGGTTCTGAACAGGGATGTGACATGATTCGAATTGTGTTTAAAGATCTCTCTTGCTGCAGCGGAAAATGAATTGTGGTAGGGCAAAAGAGGAGGAGATGCCCTAATATGGCCAAGAGATGATGTTGGCTTAGACTAAGGCGCCACCCAGGAGCCCCTAGGTTTCATTTTAAATGGGATAGGAAGGAAGCCATGGTGAGTTTTAAGAAGGGGAGTAATGCTGTGATTTACTATGTGAAATTAAATTGTTGGGGGCAGGGGGCAAGGGGAGACCAGTTAAATGACTAAAGTAGTAGTTCAAGCAAGAGGCGCTGGTGGCTGAGACTGCTGGTGGGGTGTAAGAGAGAGAGATGTGATTGGATTCAGGATGTGTTTTGGAGGTAGGACAATTACATTGAGTACAGACCACTATTGTCAGAGTGAACATAGACTGTTGGGGCGCCTGGGTGGCTCAGTCAATTGAGCATCTGGCTCTTGGTTTCTGCTGAGGTCACCATCTCATGGTCGATCGGTTGGTTGTAGGATCAAGCCCCGTTTTCCCCCGGCCTCAAGCTCTGTGCTCAGTGCTCAGTGGGAGTCTGCTTCAGGTTTTTTCTCCCTCTGCTGCTGCCCCTCCCCACTCATGCTCTATCTCTTAAATAAATAAATAAAATCTTAAAAAAAACCACACACAAACCGTAGACTGTTCATTGGTTTGTTTGTTTTTTTAAAGATTTTATTTATTTATTTGACAGAGAGAGACACAGCGAGAGAGGGAACACAAGCAGGGGGAGTGGGAGAGAGAGAAGCAGGCTTCCCACGGAGCAGGGAGCCCAATGCGGAGCTCGATGCGAGGCTCGATGCGAGGCTCGATCGCAGGACCCTGGGATCATGACCTGAGCCGAAGGCAGACGCTTAATGACTGAGCCACCCAGGCGCCCCTGTTTGTTTGTTTTTTAAGAAGGCTGCAATGTGGGCCTGAACCCAGGACCCTGAGATCAAGACCTAAGCTGAGACCAAGAGTTTGATGCTTAACCGACTGAGCCACCCAGGCGCCCCTGTTTTTTGGGGTTTTTTTTAAGATTTATTTATATATTTATTTGTCAGAGACAGAGCACAGAAGCAGGGGGAGTGGCAGGGAGAGGGAGAAGCAAATTCCCTGCTGAGCAAGGCGTGCGATGCGGGACTCCATCCCAAGATGCTGGGATCATGACCTGAGCCGAAGGCAGACGTTTAACCAACTGAGCCACCCAGGCGTCCCTGTTTGTTTGTTTTTTAAGTAATTTCTGCACCCAACATGGGGCTCAAATTCACGACCCCAAGATGAAGAGTAGCTTTACTGACTGAGCTAGCCAGGAGCCCCAAACATAGACTGTTCTTAAGGAATTGATAAATCTAACACATTTAGCAAGTTGCTTAACACTTCTGGGCCTCGCTTTTTGTTTTTGTTTGTTTGTTTTAACAAAAGGTGGGATTTAAAAGATCTATAATGTCTCTGAGTCTCTCAAACAACTGAAGCTTGTTCTCTGAAAACATTTGCATTATTATAGTTCAAGTTGAATGTGTGTGTATGTGTGCTAATGGTTTGCCAAGTGGACAAGTGAAATTTGAGGGTGTTCTTGGAAGGTTTGATGATGCTCATGACTTTAAGCCAGGATCTTAAGGTACATGTAAACACAGATTAGTTACAGAAAGCTGGGAAGACATTCCTAATAGTGGGTAATAGCACTTACTGCTGGTGTTCTTACATATAATTTGCACTTTGCACTGTGAGGGAAAAAATGTTTAAGTATTCTGTTTGATATGCTAAGTGGCTATATGTACCCTTACTGACTCTTCTGGCCTGTTTATCCCAGGTACTATCTGTTTTCCCTCATCATGAATTTGAGCCGTGATGCGTATGAGGTTCGCCTACTGATGGAGCAAGAGTCTTCAGCTTGTAGCCGGCGACTGAAGGGTTCCGGAGGAGGAGCCCCAGGAGGAGTTGAAACTGCAGGACCTGGGGGTCCAGGAACTCCAGGAAGAGGCTTGCCTCAACTGGCTCTCAAGCTTCAGCTCCGAGTCCTGCTCTTGGCTCGGGTCCTCCGAGGTCATCCCCCACTTCTGCTGGATGTGGTCAGAAATGCCTGTGATCTTTTCATTCCACTGGACAAACTAGGCCTCTGGCGCTGTGGCCCTGGGATCGTGGGCCTTTGTGGCCTCGTGTCCTCCATCCTGTCTATTCTTACTCTAATCTGCCCTTGGCTACGACTCAAGCCCTGATATTCTGGTACAGGATAAGGAGGGGATCTGAATTGGTAAGATGGAATCTTAGATCATCCCCAATGTACCAGCCTCATTCTAATTCTACTCCTTGGTTAAAGTTAAAATCCCAAGAGTTCGGGGTAGAGGGAGGAGCTTTGGGGAAGGTGAGGTGAAGAGAGGTGACTTGTGAAGTCAACGGGATGATTCTGATGTTCAGATCTTCTGGGGCTTTTGCTTTTTCCTCCTTCATTGCAATGTCTATGTCTCTCTTGACCCCTTTTACTTTGTGTTTCTTGAGTCTATTTAAGATTCTGTCTCTGCATCTTTTTTTTACCTTCTCAATTTGCTGTCCTAGGAATTTAATCAGTAGAATTACTTTTTTGGTAGGGGAGGTAGAAGGTGTGGTCTGTGAGGTTCTAACTGCCTTCTTCTTTTTCCTCACAAAGGTGACTTGTGGCAGATTTTACCCCCTTCAAATGCCACCAAAGCATAACTTTAGAGACTTCATGTCCCAGTGGATTCTCCCCTCATGCACCAGAGGTGGTTTGCTACTTCCTCCTTCATGTCTACCTCACCAGCCTCCCTCATGACTTGGCCCTTCCCTCTTCTACTCACACCTGCAGATTTCTGCTTACACTTTTATTTCAGGGCTTTGTTCCCTAGCCTGTTCTCACCCCTTCTTTGCCTATCCAGAAGGATGCTGTGTCTAGCATCTTGCTGTAAATACTGTACAGTGATTCTGTGTAAATAGCTGTGGGCGTGCCCACAATGGGGAGCAAGCCTTCAGGTCAGCACATTAAAGGTCCGTTTGCTCATCAGTGTTTGGTCTGGTCCCATGTGTTCTGGTCATCTGAGGTCTCTAATTCCTGGTACTGTGGTTTGGGTTTTCCATGGGATTAGGCACTAGCGTCATCACCCGCAGACTTTTATTGAACACCTACACTCTGCAGGGCATAATACTAAGAGGTAGAGATACAAAAAGCTAAGAAGCTCTATGGTCCCGACTTTAGAAGTTTATAGCCTAGTTAAGAAGAGGGGGTCTAATATTACAGTAATTATGCTGGTTCCACAACCCACACCCCATACCAGTTCATAGTTTCTAGTCCCTCCAAAAGCTATAATGCCACAAGGCAACATAGGCTGAGTCACAGACAGAACTAAGTGAAGTGCGACTGGCAAGGTTTGGTTTGTGGGCTGGCTGTGTTCACATGTTGGGACTCCCCTGGGTGGGAGGGGAATTGATATCACTGTCACCAGCTCTTTCATTTTCCATATCCCAGGGTGAGATAAATAAGGTTAAGAAGTAAAAAGTCTCTGTCTCCCATGTCTACCATCTATTCCAAACCTGAGGAAAGCATGAACTGCCTGGCAACAACAAAGGATAGAAAAAAAGGAAGAGAAAGAAACTGCAGAAGTCAAGACTTGGGTTCTTTGGATATTGAGATGATGCCTCCAGGGGGCAGCACCAGGGCAGAGAAATAGGCTAAGATCGCTCAGTCCTCCTTTCCTTGGTCTGGGGCTGCCCGGAGTTCCCACCATCACTCCTCCCATTTTATTTTTAGCTGCCAGTGGGAGGGGGCAGGATGGGAGGGAAAGTAAAGAAAACAGAAAAGGAGAGGGACAGAGGCACAGAGAACTTCTCACACGGACAGAGAACAAGCAGGCATGAAGCTTGCCCTCATCCCTCACCTGCTCTTGCCCATCATGTTCCTGACAGGTGAGGGGGGTTAACTTCTTGGTTCCTGGTGGGGAAGGAAGGTGTATGGGTTGTTTGGCACCGAGACCTTTAGGGTTAAAATCTTCGGAGTTAGGGTGAGAAGTTAACACTGATTCTGCGTGTCATGTGTGTATGTGTGTGTTTGTGTGTGTGTGCATGTTTTCATTCTTATGCCCACACATACGAGGGCTTCGGGATTGAGACGGGCAGGACCTTGGGTCAGAGTTGTGTCCCATTATCTAAAATCTTTATCCTAAGCCCTGGAGGAGTGAGTGGATCAAAAAGAAATATGACGTGACCTTCCACGTGGCTAGTCTGATTCCTCTTATTCTCCTCCCAACTTCCTTCTACCCTTGGGGGTCTCTGGAGCCCGAGGCATACCTGACTGTGTGGTGAGAACTCAGTTTATCTAACCAATGAGCTCCAGTTGCTGGTCATACAGCCCTGCCAGTTTCCTGGATGCAAAAAGGCTCACATAGAAAACACCTTTCTGAGAAGGAACGTGGTTTGAGACAGAGCTTATAGCCATTGGTGGCGGGGGTGGTGGGGGTGGCCTGAGAGGGGGTTGCTTGAAAGGAGAGAGCAAGACAGGGAAGAACCATGGGAGGGACCAGAGGCTTGGAATTTTTCCTCACCAGTGCCCTGTAATCTTTGTTTCCTAAAATACCAGCTCTGATTTCTTAACATTTTTTAAATTTAATTTTATTTTTAAGTAAATTCTGTGCCCAACATGGGGCTTGAACTCATGACCCTGAGGTCAAGAATAGCATGCTCTCCTGACTGAGCCAGCCAGGTACCCCATACCAGCTCTGATTTTAAAGGGCTTGCGGTTGGTGGTGGGGGGGGTGAGACTCAGCCAGGACAAGAGTAGGGGGTGTCTTTAGAGCGGGCTGAAAGTTAAGGAAGAAAGGCAGGTAAGCAGGGGGCAGTTGGGAGGGTGGATGAGTTAGAAAAGAAGTGGGTTGTGGGAAACCTTGGGGTGATGGTACCCTTGGTAAGGATGGTTGGCAAACCATGTGTGTGGGCAGGCAAGTGGCCCCACCCAGTTAATTACCACTGAGGTTTTCAGGGCTGGAATCATGCAGGGACTTAGACAGTGGAGAAAAAGATTGAGAGTGTGACCGTGACACTGGGAGTCATGAAGAGACAGAAAGAGGAGAGACCAGGCAGTACTCACTAGCCTCTTGTCCTCCCTGAGGTCCTGCGTTTGGGGAGAATCTGGAAGGGACAGTTGTTCTGGGCTGCAGAAGGGCCCTCTCCCTCTTTGAGTCTTGCAGCTTCTGGGGGAGTATGTGTAGGAGGAATGATGTGGACAAGAGGAACCTGACCCTTCCAGACATGTCTGTGAATGAGATTGCAGGGGTGGGAATGGAAATGCAGCTGTGTACCAGCATGGCAGAGGGCCACAGGTTAGGTAGCTGGACTGAAACACAGGAAGAAGACCATCCTTGCTTGGAGCTCTGAGTACATGGGTAAGAAACAGGGAGATAGACTGAGATCAAAATGTTCCCTTCGTGCTTCCTCTCTGGTTGTACCTCTCTGGGCATTCATTAGCCTCTCTGACCGCTTCCTCCTATCCTTATGACCCTGCCCCCCAGGTCTGTGCTTCCCCTTTAATCTGGATGTGCATCGCCCACGCCTATTCCCAGGGCCACCCGAGGCTGAATTTGGATATAGTGTCTTACAACATGTCGGGGGTGGACGTCGATGGTGAGGAGGAAACCAGAGGGCCATGGGATTGGGACTGTGGTGGAGCTCTTAAAAGGGAGGCAAGGCAGATGGGAATCTAAGTGACTCTGGTCTTTTGGAAGTGGCTGGGATACGGGACTTGCTACCCCCAGGCATTTTCCCTCTGGCCTATCTCAAAGGTCATGTTCACACAATGCTTATATTCATGTCCTTCTCCCAGGATGCTGGTGGGTGCCCCCTGGGATGGGCCTTCAGGTGACAGAAGAGGGGACGTTTATCGCTGCCCTGTAGGGGGTTCCCACAGTGCTCCATGTGCCAAAGGCCACTTGGGTAAGAAGATGCCTCACTCTTCCACTCCTAACCCCTAACCTGATATGCTAGTAGCCACCTCACCTTCACTCCCATATCCTACATACTCCCTTGTCTTTGACTTGATCCTGATCTCATCCTCTTTCCAAATCACCCTAAATTCAAGAAGCTCATGTGTGACCCCATGATCTCATTCTCTCCCACCCCCTTCCAACCAGGTGACTATCCACTGGGAAATTCATCTCATCCTGCTGTGAATATGCACCTGGGAATGTCTCTACTAGAGACAGACAATGATGGGGGATTCATGGTGAGCTAAGGAAAGGGTGGTGACGGGATCTCTGACGGATTTTGGCAGAGAAAAGAGCAGTATGGTAAAGGAAACTGGTCTATGTGAAGGGGTCAAGGTCAAGAAGTTTAAAACCCTAGAAAGCAAAGAGGGGAATCCCAGGTTTCAGTGCCTCTTGGACTAGGGGCAAGTGTTGAGAGTGCACTCCCAAGCCCTGGGGTAATACTTCTCCTGCCCCTCCCTAGGCTTGTGCCCCTCTCTGGTCTCGTGCTTGTGGCTCATCTGTCTTCAGTTCTGGGATATGTGCCCGTGTAGATGCTTCATTCCGGCCCCAGGGAAGCCTGGCACCCACCGCACAACGTGAGCCAGAAGAAGGGCCTGAGGACTCAGTCCCCAGAACTGGGTGCAGGGTGGGAAAAAGATGGGGCAACAGGGTATGATGCTGGACAGGGGGCCTGCATACCTTTCCTCATTGTTACCGAAAGTGCCTGCAAAAGTTCCATGTTTTCTAACAGATTAGAATTCAGACTCTTTGCCAGGGCATCAAGACTGCATGAACTATTCTAACCAACTTCAAAAACTCAACTCTCACTCTACCCCTCCATGCACTGTGCCTTGGCCATGGCCTTTCCCTCCCCATTCTCCTCTTTGTCATCTATTTTTATACCTCCTTGTCCTTTTATTTAAAGCGTTCTCCATGCAAATGTCTTTTCTTATATTCTCCTCTCCTCAAACATCTTCCATTGCCTCCTCCTTTGATTCCCTACTATCAGAACTGACCCTCTGTTGTCCTACAGCAGAGTGGTGCTCTGTTTCTCCCTAGCACTCAGTTCCTCCTCCTCCTCCTCTCTTCTTCTCCTTCTTCTTCCTCTTCTTCTCCCTCTTCTCCTCCTTCTTCTTGTAAATTATATGCATGCCCATCTCCTCTTTTACTCATTTCTACATTGACCCAGGGCCGGGCATACTACCTTCCTTGCATGTTCAGAAGGGCCTAAAACGTGTTTGGATGGAATGTACCCTCCTGTGACCTCTTCCCTTGTTGTCCCCATGTCCAATATCCTTCTACCCCTCTGTTCCTCATCAGCATCCCCCTCCTCCTAGGCTGTCCCACCTACATGGATGTTGTCATTGTCTTGGATGGCTCCAATAGCATCTACCCGTGGTCTGAAGTTCAGACTTTCCTACGAAGACTGGTAGGGAGATTGTTTATTGACCCAGAGCAGATACAGGTAAGAGAAGGCAATATGGCTGGGCTTGTAGGGGGAGAGATGGCAGGGAGAGAGTGGTGATGAGGTGAATGTAGGTCATGTCTTCAGTAGTATCCCTGCCCTCACATACTGTCTTCTCCCTCAGTACATGCATTCCATGTGAGCGCACGCTTTGTTCTCAGGTGGGACTGGTACAGTATGGGGAGAGCCCTGTGCATGAGTGGTCCCTGGGAGATTTCCAAACAAAGGAAGAAGTGGTGAGGGCAGCGAGGAACCTGAGTCGGCGAGAGGGACGAGAAACAAAGACTGCCCAAGCAATCCTGGTGGCCTGGTGAGGCATTGGGAAGGGGAGCCTGGGAGGCCAGAGTGAGGAGGGCCTAGAAGGGTTAGGGAGGGTCTGGAGTACAGTGCGTCCACCCCAAGATGTCTGGCATGCTTTCCTTTGTGTGCACACTGGTGGTTGGGGAAGGCTAAGCTGGCTGTCTTTGCACATCTCATCACATTCTCATCACATTCTTCAAAGTGTCTATGTCTGTCTTTCCACGTTTCTGATTGATTTATCTCTGTAGACAGAACGCTCTCTATCCCTGCACTCTCACTTCGATCTTGGCCTTCAGGTTCTTCACCACTCATGTCCTAGCCCGCTTGCCAAACGTGATTCAGAACTCATCTCTGGGACGACTCCCCTGTCCCGCCCCCCTCCTTGATTTTACACTTCTCTGAATATGTGTCTTTTCCCCAGTGCAATATTTGCTGAATGAATCTACGAGCGAATGGATTTTATACTTATTTGCCTGGAGGATATGCTGCTCTATATGTTCTATGTCATTCAAACATTTTAGCCCTTACTGTGTGCAGTCTCCGTGCCAGCCACTGTCAGGGAAATGGAGTAAAAGGGGAGATGCCTGACCTTGGTGAACTGTGACAGTGGGGTGTGTGTGTGTGTGTGTGTGTGTGTGTATCTGCATACTCGTGATCACACCTCACTCCTTTCTCTCTCTTCTCAGCACAGAAGGATTCAGTCTGTCCCATGGGGGCCGACCAGAGGCTGCCAGGCTGCTGGTGGTTGTCACTGACGGAGAGTCACACGATGGGGAGGAGCTTCCTGCAGCACTCAAGGCCTGTGAGGCTGGAAGAGTGACCCGCTATGGGATCGCGGTGAGAATCTCCTCTGGGTCTGGCGGGATGGAGGGGGGATGGTGACATTGAGGACTGGGAACTTGAAGAGAATGGGCATTAACCACTTCCCAAAGATCGGCCGTATTGCCCTTCCTTCACTTTAGTTGGCCTGCTCTAACATCCCACTCCGCATAGCTAACTGACCCCACCTGGGTCTCCTGACCCCAGGTCCTTGGCCACTACCTCCGGAGGCAGCGAGACCCCACCTCTTTCCTGCGGGAAATCAGGATGATTGCCAGTGATCCAGATGAGAGATTCTTCTTCAATGTCACAGATGAAGCTGCGCTGACTGACATTGTGGATGCACTAGGAGACCGGATCTTTGGCCTTGAGGGTAATGACTACCCTGAAGAAATGGAGGACAGAAAAGGGGGGTTCAGGGTGTAGGTGGGGTTCTGTGGTGAGCTCTTCCCTGATTCTGCTTTGATATTTTCTCGTGCTCAGGGTCCCATGGAGAAAATGAAAGCTCTTTTGGGCTGGAAATGTCTCAGATTGGTTTCTCTACTCATCGGCTAAAGGTTGGACAGACTCTGACCCCTCTGTGACCCCCCTCAACATCTGACTCCTCCCAACCTGAGACTCAGGCAACTTCAACCCAGGGCTCTTCTAGATTCCTCCTTTAACCAGTGTCCATGCTGACCTTCCCATGCCTTTCCAACTGACCCCAGCATACTCTTAGTGACCTTCTCACTCCTGGGGTTTTTACTCCTCATTTCCTGTTGTCTTTTCAAGTGACCCCATCTGTTTCTGCCAAACAGGATGGGATTCTCTTTGGAATGGTGGGGGCCTATGACTGGGGGGGCTCCGTGTTATGGCTTGAAGAAGGTCACCACCTTTTCCCCCCACGGACAGCCTTGGAAGATGAGTTCCCCCCTGCTTTGCAGAACCACGCAGCCTACTTGGGTGAGTTGCAGAGGGTTGCAGGGGATGATGGGGTGAGGAGGAAATGTTTCACCAGTGGAGGGTGTGAGAGCAGTTTCTCACTGATCTGCTACTTTCCTTGGGACCTGCTCCTGTGCCTTTAGGGAACCCTCTTACTCTGACCCCATCTTTTTTCCCTTTCACCCCTGATTCCCTGCCCATTTCTAGGTTACTCTGTTTCCTCCATGCTTTTGTGGGGTGGACGCCGCCTCTTTCTCTCAGGGGCTCCTCGGTTTAGACATAGAGGAAAGGTCATCGCCTTCCAGCTTAAGGAAGATGGGGCTGTGAGGGTTGCCCAGAGCCTCCAGGGGGAGCAGGTAGGGCATGCAAGGGAGGGTGGGACCTTGGATCCTGAGGGGACTTCAGGCTGTGGGGGAGGAAGGGGAAGAGCCAAGAGTGGAGCCTGAAAAGTCTTTGCTGAATTCTGGCTGGCAGAGTCCGTCAGGGGTGTGAGGATCAGACTGGCAGGCTGGCGGGTACTTCTCACTTGTCCACAATCACCTTGTCTTTTCTCTGGGGTCCCACTCCCCACCACTCCCCAGATTGGCTCCTACTTTGGCAGTGAGCTCTGCCCGTTGGATACGGATGGGGACGGAATAACGGATGTCTTACTTGTGGCTGCCCCCATGTTCCTGGGGCCCCAGAACAAGGAGACGGGGCGGGTTTATGTGTATCTGGTGGGTCAGGTGAGACTCGCTGGCTCCCCTTGAACTTGTCTGTGGGGGGTGGAGGGAAGAAGGAAGGGAAGGCGCATCCATTCACCCATTCACGGGCTGGCTGAGAGGTTGGGACTGCCGGCTCAGCGTCTTCTGTCTTCTCCCTCCACCAGCAGTCCTTGCTGACACTCCAGGGAACACTTCAGCCGGAACCCCCCCAGGATGCTCGGTTTGGCTTTGCCATGGGTGCCCTTCCTGATCTGAACCAAGATGGTTTTGCTGATGTGGTCGTGGGGGCACCCCTGGAGGATGGGCACCACGGAGCACTGTACCTGTATCATGGCACCCGGAGCGGGCTCAGGCCCCGGCCCGCCCAGGTCAGGAGTGTCCGGATAAAGCAGGGGCATGGGTGGGAGGAAGGGGAAGGGGGGTGTGCTCCTTTTTCGTCATTGTTTCCCTGACCTGGAGACCTAAACTGGACAAGTGCTCTTTTATCAGTAGTCAAAAAGGTGAGGTGGTAGGGTAAGATGCGGGTTGTTGTACTAGGGATTCCTAGACACAGGCTAGTTTCTTTTATTCCTTCTTATTCTCTCCCTCTTTTTAAAGATTTTATTTATTTGAGACAGAGAGTGCACAAGCCAGGGGGAGAGGCAGAGGGAGAAGCAGACTCCCCCCCTGAGCAGGGAGCCCGGTGTGGGGCTCGATCCCAGGACCCTGGGATCAGGACCTGAGCCGAAGGCAGATGCTTAACGACTGAGCCACCCAGGCGCCCCCTTTCTTATTCTCTTACTCCTTATTGTGAGTGTACCGGGTGGGCGGCCTGGGCCACCAGGTGGGAGAGTCCCAGCTCAGTCTCCCCTCTCTTCCGCTCAGAGGATTGCTGCCGTCTCCATGCCACAGGCCCTCAGCTACTTTGGCCGGAGTGTGGACGGCCGGCTGGATCTGGATGGAGATGACCTGGTAGATGTGGCTGTGGGTGCCCAGGGGGCAGCCGTCCTGCTCAGGTGAGCCGCGCCAGCTCAGAAGGCGGTGGGCAGTCACAGGGCTTGGGAGTCACAGACTTAGATTTGGATTTCTTTCTTTCTTTCTTTCTTTTTTTTTTTAAAGATTTTTATTTATTTGAAAGAGAGAGCACAAGCCGGGGGAGGGGCAGAGGGAGAGAGAGGAGCAGGCTCCTGCTGGGATCATGACCTGAGCTGAAGGCAGACGCTTAACCAACTGAGCCGCCCAGGCGTCCCTAGATTTGGATTTCTTGACCAACTTGCTCTGTTCCTCCATTTCCTAGTTTTTAAAAATGGGAATAATCATAGTGCCTGCCTCAGAGGCTTGTTGTGAGATTCAATGCCACAATCGGGTAAAGATCTTGACGCAGTGCCTAGCACATGGCAAGTACTTCTTCAATGTCAGCTATTATCTTTCTGCCAGAAGGTTCCGGAGAGAGTGACACGCATACATTTAGCCCCTCGTTCTTGCCTTTGACCTCTGGGAGGCCAACGCTGGGGACTGCCTTTTTCAAAGGGCTGTCCTCTTACTGCTAGAATTTCTTTCCCACCCTGCTCCCAGCTCCCGGCCCATTGTCCACCTGGCCCCCTCACTGGAGGTGACCCCGCCAGCCATCAGTGTGGTTCAGAGGGACTGCAGCCGGCGAGGCCAGGAGGCAGCCTGCCTATCTGCCGCCCTTTGCTTCCAAGTGACCTCGCGCACGCCTGGCCGCTGGGATCGTCGATTCTGTGAGTGACCGGAGCAGCCTAAGCAACTCTCAACCCCGCCGGCCTCTGTCTCTGGACCGCCCTTCACCCTCGCTCCTGCCTGCCCCGTCCAGATTTGCGGTTTACAGCATCCCTGGATGAGTGGACGGCGGGGGCACGTGCTGCGTTTGATGGCTCTGGCCAGAGGCTGTCCCCTCGGAGGCTCCGGCTCAGCGCCGGGAATGTCACTTGTGAGGCGCTACACTTCCATGTGCTGGTGAGGAGGAGCAGTAAGTGCTTTGCATCAGGGCCTGGGAGCGAGGGGAAGGCGGATTGGAGGACGAACTCCCGCTGGATTGGCAAAAAAGCCGAAGCTGAAGGTGGGAAAGCCAGGAAGGTCAGCATCTGGGGGCAGGCTGATCTGGGTTTGAAGCCCAGCTCCGCCGTTTGCCGCTTGTCAACTCTGACAAGTCACACAACCTGCATGCCTCAGGTTCCTTGCCTAAAAGGAGGAGATACTAATAATAGCTACATCATGGGAGTTGTGTTAGAATTCAATGTAATGGTATTGATAAAACCTTAGGACAGTACCCAGCACATAGAAGGTGCTCGGCACATGATCACTATAATCTTCCCATTCTGCCGGGGGCCTGGGCTGTACCCCTAACCCAGGCTCCCCATGATCCTTGACTCTGGTTTTCCTCAGGATACCTCAGATTACCTCCGGCCCCTGGCCTTGACTGTGACCTTTGCATTGGACAACACCACAAAGCCAGGCCCTGTGCTGGATGAAGGCTCACCTACCTCCATACAAAAGCTGGTCAGCGGTGCCAAGCCCTGCCCTGCCCCTAGGTCTCAACACTGTCCTCAGTGAATTCGAGAGACATGGAGGGTGGACACCTGATATCACAGCGAAATCTGACCTGGGCATCCACTCTTCTCTTTTCACTTTTCCCCTAATTCCATCCCTTTCTCCTTGCCTTCCTATCGGGCCCTCAGCCCCTTCTTTCCCCTCTAGGTCCCCTTCTCAAAGGATTGTGGCCCTGACAATGAATGTGTTACAGACCTGGTGCTTCGAGCTAATATGGACATCAAAGGCTCCAGGTGGGACAGACATGAACTGGCCAAACCAGGGTGACCTGAGACCAACTGGAAGGAACTTGAAGGGAGCTGGAGGGTTGTTTCTTGCCCAGGAAAGCAGAAGTGATGCTTCTGGGAGCTTTTTCAATTCCTGGGCTCTCCCTTCTCCGCCACTCCTAGGAAGGACCCGTTCGTGGTTCGAGGAGGTCGGCAGAAAGTGTTGGTGTCAGCAACTCTGGAGAACAGGAAGGAAAATGCCTACAACACTAGCCTGAGTCTCAGCTTCTCTAGAAACCTCCACCTGGCCAGTTTCACGCCTCAGGTGCCTGGGGGGCGGGGTGGGGGTGGAGGTTTGGGAGGAGTCAGGGCAGGAGGAGGAAGAAGATTGGGGCATTGGCCTCGGCTGTGAAGGGCTCTAGAGAAAGGCTCAGTGTTTCGAGGCTGCGGGCAGGAGAGCACTTGCAGCTTCAGCTCCAGCCCCCACCCCCTTCCTCTGCTCTCAGAGGGACAGCCCAGTGAAGGTGGAATGCACCGCCCCTTCGCCTCATGTCCGGCTCTGCAGTGTGGGGCACCCTGTCTTTCAGACCGGAGCCCAGGTGAGTGGGGGCCCAGAATGAGAAAGCAGCTTTGAGAGAGCAGGGACTGGAAACTGCGGGGCCTGGGAGTTTAGGGAAGGAGGTACACAACAGCTCCTGAAGAGGAAGATTCCCCATATAACCCCATATGACCCCAGGTGACCTTCCTGCTGGAGTTTGAGTTTAGCTGCTCTTCGCTCCTGAGCCAGGTCCTTGTGAGGCTGACTGCCACCAGGTGAGAACAAAGGGAACATCCCCCCCAGGCCTCTCCCATTGGGTCTTGTCGGGGAAGGGTTGTCTAAGAGGGGGCTGGGACGTGAGCCTCTCCCCCTGACCCTACAGCAATAGCCTGGAGAGAAATGGGACCCTTCAAGATAACACAGCCCAGACCTCAGCCTACATTCAATATGAGCCCCACCTCCTATTCTCCAGGTATGGCTCACCTCCCCGCTAGGACCCCGTTCTGACCCCAGACTCATACTCTATGTTTCCTCCCTTTCCTTCCACGTGTTTCCCCCAAACCCTTGGGGCTGCTCCATCTTTTTGCCCTCAATCCCACTCAAGTTGAACCTTTTAAGCATCTTCCTTTCCTAGGTATAGGTATACCTATGCGTCCTAGGTATAGGGCTTTGCTGTAGGCCTTGGGGATTGAAGTTGGGGTGACGGGTATGGGATGTGACTGTAAAGTTTGTATCAAGTCTACGTCATGTCCCATTTCGATCTTCTTTATGTGTCCCCATCTCTTTATCCATGTGCTGGCTCTGCCTTCCCTGAATCCATGTCTGTGTGCTGATCATGTGCCCCTGTGTCTGTGTCATGGCTGTGACCATGTACTTCCTGACTTGGTGTCCACGCAGTGAGTCCACTCTGCACCGCTATGAGGTCCACCCATACGGGACCCTCCCAGTGGGTCCCGAATTCAAAACCACTCTTAGGGTGAGAAGCTGGAGGGTCCTTGGTATGAGCAGGGGGAGGGGGAGGAGTCCTGGGCAAAGGAGGGGACGAGTCTCTCTTAGATGTCCAGGGCCATCTAGGGTGAAGGGGAACAGATGAGGAAGGATCTTCTGTCTCCCACTTCTTCCCATTTCCAATCCTGCTCTTAGGTTCAGAACCTTGGCTGCTATGTGGTCAGTGGCCTCATCATCTCGGCCCTCCTTCCAGCTGTAGCCCATGGGGGCAATTACTTCCTGTCATTGTCTCAAGTTATCACTGACAATGTGAGTCTGGGCTAAGGGCATAGGGAACCCTGCCACCTCGATCTGGTGAACTTACCCAGCCCCCTATCTGCTGGGTCACTGCTCTCAGGGCTCCTCCCTCTGGGAGACCTTTCTTTTACACATGTGGCTTCTTTGGGGAGAAAGAAAGGGATTGCGCAGGGAAGAACCACAGAGCATGCATGGATAGTATGCTCCTGCTCAGCCTGGAGTGGGTGACCTCTCACCATCAAGAGGGTTGCTCAAGTTGCATCTTCCTCTAGGCAAGCTGCGCAGTAGAGAACCTGACCGAGCCCCCAAGGCGCCCTGTGCACCCAGAGGAGTTTCAGCACACATACAGACTGGTATGAGTCGCAAGAAGGTGAAGGAGATATCCAGAGTGGGAACGCAGCAGGGAGCAGTAGATTTTGGAGCCTTGGGGCAGGAGTGGGGAGTAGGCAATTTTTCCACCCCAAGATCCTGATCTGTCTCTCTCTTCTGGCAGAACGGGAGTAACACTCGGTGTCAGGTTGTGAGGTGTCATCTTGGGCGACTGGCAAAGGGGACCGAGGTCTCTGTTGGACTACTGAGGCTGCTTCACAATGAATTTTTCCGGAGGGTAAATCTTTTCTTCTACTCTCCTCCTCTGCTCCTACCTGGAACTTTGGCATAGTCTTTGGAATAGACTCAGGTTCAAGTTCCAGATTTGCCTCCTACGAGCTGTTGGACCTTGAGCAAGTAATTTAATCTCTCTCTGATTCTTTCTCTCTATCTCTAAAGTGGGGAAGATAATACCTACTTCATGGGGTTGTAAAGAATAAATGAATAACGAGATGGATTCCTTGTATTTTCCTCTGTTTATCATCCCTTGGTGCTATATCAATAATCAACATTTAGGGGCGCCTGGGTGGCTCAGATGGTTAAGCGTCTGCCTTTGGCTCAGGTCATGATCCCAGGGTCCTGGGATCAAGTCCCGCATCGGGCTTCCTGCTAGGCAGGGAGCCTGCTTCTCCCTCTGCCTCTCTCTCTCTCTCTCTGACTCTCATGAATAAATAAATAAAATATTTTAAAAAATCAACATTTATAGCATACCTAAATTCAGCCAATTAATAATCTATCAAGTGCCTACTATAGAAAAGGACCTGTATTAGGTAGACACTGAGGAGAATATCCCCAACACTCAGCACCATGCCTAACTCATTATAGTGACTCAATACATTTCTCTTAAATGAATGAATAAATAGTCGATATTGTACGCATGATAGATATTGGAGGGTAATGGGAGGCAAGATTGTATAGCTGAAAGGTGTGTTGTAGGTTATGAAAGTTCTCCAAAGCTAGGGAGGTGAAACTGAACTCAATGCAATGGGCAGTCAGGAGTCAGTGTGAGTTTCTGAGCAGGGAAACGACATCTTAATTATAACGACTATAACAGTGACTAGGGGCAATTTACTTTGAATAGCACAAGCTCCCTGGGATGTAGGCATATTTTATGGGAAGTTTAAGTCTGAGACACCATCCTTCTCTAAGTCTGGTTCTCTCTGTATCTCTCCTCGGTATCCTTTTTTCATTCATTCATTTATTTTTTCAATAAAGCCTTATTAAGAAACCAGTGTGTACTTGGCACTGTGCTAGGCACTAGGCCCTAGAGACACATATGTTTATAAGACACAGCTCTTGACCTCAAGGATCTTCTAGTCCAGCGGTGAAAGACAGAGAAGTAAACAGAATATTATGACCTAATCCAGGGTGGTGGGGGTTAGGAGGAAACACTTCCCTAATTCCCAGAAGGGATGATGTCTAAACTTCAACCTGAAGGAGGGGTAGGGGTTAGCCAAAGAACGGGAGTTAAATAATACTGGGTAGAGCAAACCGCACACGTGAAGGGCCAGAGGCTTTCCCTCTGTTACCCTTCTGCTCTTTCTCCTTTGATCTCCAACCTTTTCTTCTGGTCTGGAAGATGCTGGAAGTTGTGCCTACCAGCCTCATCTTTGCTGTTGGGGTTCTAAGACCACACCACCTGATGATGGCTCATTTTCAATGTCTTCCACAGGCCAAATTCAAGTCTCTGACAGTGGTCAGCACCTTTGAGCTGGGAGCTAAGGAGGGCAGTGTCCTACAGCTGACAGAAGCCTCTCGTTGGAGTGAGGTGGGACCGAAGCCTGGGTTTGGGAGCCACAGAAAGAGTGAGGGTGGGAATGGGGCAAGGGCACCTGGGGGCTTTTTTAGAACAGAGGCATCCTCACTAGCAGGCAGCTGGGGAGTCAGAAGTGATAAATCAGGATGCTGGGCTCCCACTGCCTTTATTCCTGCCTCGGTTGCTTTCTTTTTATTCTTCTATTTTGAGGCTTCTATTTCACCCCTATAATGTGAGGTGAGGCTAGCTGGGAGAAAGGGTGCAAGTACCGAACAGCTGTCCTCCCCATACAGAGCCTGCTGGAGGTGATTCAGACCCGCCCTGTCCTCATCTCCCTGTGGATCCTCATTGGCAGTGTCCTGGGAGGGCTGCTCCTACTTGCTCTCCTTGTCTTCTGTCTTTGGAAGGTAAGCACTGCTTTGGTGGGAAGTATGGGCCATGATGCCCATGAGTTGAGGGCTCCTTGAGTATAGCAGGGAGAACTGGATTTGTGCTGGGCGGCTAAGTAGGCTGTGGGTGTCCTGCCCGGATCTCTTTCACTATACTCTACAAATGTTGGTTGAATTAAACTAAGCCAAATAAAATAAACTAGAATCTCATTTTTGGAAGCAGAACAAAAGTGAAGATTTCAGACATATCTGAGGGCTGTTGGCAAGGTCCCCAGGCAGGACATTTGGTGATGACTCTTATCTCTTCCTCTACAGCTTGGCTTCTTTGCCCGAAAGAAAATCCCCGAGGAAGAAAAAAGAGAAGAGAAATAGGAGCAATGAATGTATAATAAAGCCCTAGAAAGTCCTCTTGGCAGCTTCTCCAAAAGACTTGCCTAAGAGCCATGGTCTGGGGGCTCAGATGGACAAGAAAAGCCTCTGGACTGTCTTCCCAGACTTGCAGACTGACTTGAGTTTTGAGTCTTGAGCATGCTGCTGGCAAGAGATGAGGCCTTACCTCAGATGAGAAGGGCTGGCGCCCAAACCAGAAACACTCTCCCCCTGTGCTTCCCTCCTCATGATCCTGCTGCCACAGCCAACACTGGGGCCTTGGTTGGGGGCCCCCTTTTTCCTTCTCCCCAGGAATCAAGACTTTTTTGCCTAGGTTCCCTGACTCCTCTTAGATTCCCCCGACATCCTCCCTCAAATTTGGAAAGGATGAGGGCGATCTTCCTCCATTCCCTGCCTCTCACCTTCCTGCCTGCTCCCCACTCCACAGAAGGGAGCTGACGTTGGCTTCGAAAAGTAAAGTCAACATCTGCTTCTTTCCTGTGGAGTCCAGTGATTCAGAGAGCCGGATGGGGAGAGTCAACAGGAAACAAGGAGGGAGGAAGAAAAGCCACAAGAGACATTCTGTACAATTCCAAGGAACAGAGAAGCCTTTAGACGGGCAACTGCCATCCCCCTGAAACCTGAGACTTCGTGGTACACTAGCCCGCCCTCAGGTGCCTGGGAAACCGAGCTGCTCCAGGCCTCCCGGGCCTGGGTTTCCCAGCTCAGCGCCTTCCCTGGGAGCGAAGCCAGGGTCGGGTGCCTGATGCTCCGGAGCCAGGGGCCCCCAGGTGGCTAGAGCTGGGATAGCAGAGAAGAGTCCCGGTGGTTCGGTCCCGACCAGTGGAGAGAGTTGGATACCCTGGGCGGTGTTTTCTCCTCTCTCGGGCCTCACACACTCATGAGCCCTCCTTGGGGCTACCTTATAGAAACTAGAGAGAAGGGAGATGATTTCTTCTTGACGGTGGGAAACCCTTTCACCGGCTTTGGGAAGCAGCAGCTCCGTGGGGTCTAAACTAGTCAAGTCTGCATTGACGAAGAAGCCAAAGTGGGTGGCAGGAGGTTTCTGGGGAGCAAGCCCTTACTTGCTTAGCATTGGTTGTGTGGCACAAAGAGCTCCTAGGAAAGTGTTTCTGGGGCAACTGCAGTCATTCCTGGTAGGGTGGAATCAGTTTGCCAGCCCTTGCCTGATATTTACTGGAAAGTTCCAATTTCTATCTCTGGGTCACCTCACCACCTCTCCTCCCATTTTGTGGTCCTGGCCAGTAGTAGAGCGAATTACCTTCTCACCAATGACTGGGTAATTTATATTTCTTTGTAATCAAGACTTTGGATACCAAAGTCTGTTATTGGTCTCCAAGGTGTGGCTCTGACAGCCGTTTGGAGAATCCGCACCTGTTTCACGCTGAGAAGAGAGGAGACCTGACCGGGCAGTTGACCAGCAGCCACAGAACTTGTTCTTGAGGCCTGACCACAATGTTTATCTTGACATGTCTCTGGTCTTCTGCACAGAACGTTGTCTCTGTTTCCTAGCAGGGTGGATAGGATATCAGATGGTCAGAACAAATAAAGTTCAGTGTCAAATGACTTCTGGCTCTCTTTGAGTTCCCTAGGATATGGATAGCTCAGGCACGGTGAGAGGGAGATTCTTGGACCACCTGAGACCTATACAGTTGAGTTCCTGGAAGGCAAAGTTATAAGCTATTCGAAATGTTTTCCGTGACTCTCCCATGGAGACGTCTTCTAGCCTCCTGCAATCCTCACCTACTTAAGTGACTACAGAGTATAAATCGTGTAGGTTTGGGAAGCACATAGGCCTGGATTGAAACCCCAGGTCTGCCATTTATTAGCTGTGTGGCCTTGGGCCAGTCATAACTACGCTGAGGTTCAGATAACAGTAAGAGGCTGTGTGGTACAGTGGTTAAGAATGAAGACAGACTTGGGTTTAAATCTCAGCTATACCACTTTTGACCTTGGGCAGATTTAATTTCTTTAAGTCTTGGCTTTCTTGTCTTTAAACTTACTAGGGTTGTGAGGACCAATGAGATAATTCAAGTAAGGTGATACTCAATAAAAGTTAACTATTGTTATAAAAATATTTTGTTATAAAATAATCAATCTTCCTGTATATCATGAGGATTAAGTCAGAAGGTATATCAAAGCACCAAGTGGTGCTCCTAATCTGGTGACCCACCTCCCCTTTACACAGGCCCTAAAGATTTGTTTCCCCTACGTGCTATTGTCTCCTGCCACTAAATCTTATCCCACGCCTCATCCCCTTTGAAATAAGCCCTCATGCCCACTAAGGCAATAATTAGAAGGTTCTAATGGTAGAAATCAAGTCTATTTGATTTTTTTTAGACATCCAGTGTTTTTCTACTACCCTCAAGGAACATGTGCACTTAAGCAACAGCCTTAGAAATAAGACCATGTCTCTCTCTCTCTGTTGCCTAACTCCAAAAATGGTGGCCGGTCCGGCCAATAGGCCAGGACAACCATTCTGTGGCAAACTGATGAGTTATTTGTGGCAGAAGGAGTCCATGGTGACCCTCAGTGCACTTCATGTAAGCTATCGCTCGATCAACCTTTATGGAGCGTACTCTTTCTGATGTGGTGATGTGGACAGATCTCCCCTCTTTATTCCCGGTCAGCACTGAAAGGGAGATGGATTTCTTTGAGGACCGGCTCATTTAATTCCTTATCTGTGTGATTAAAAGAGCATTTTAAATATTTTTCCCCACCTAGAGATCCCTCTCTTCTCTCTCCTTCAGCTCCAGAGTGGGACTTTCTAACCCAACCTATTCTTCACTTGGGCCTCTTCCTTTGAAGCAGAGGCAGTTTGAGAAGCCACTGTGGAAACAACGGGCTCTCCTCAGACACAGGAGTGTCCCTTCCTTTCTTCTCATTGTTGCTTCTTCCTTCCCTCCTTCATCTTTCATTCATTCGCTCATCAGACATTAAGCACCTAACATGTGCCAGGCAATGAGAACAATATAAAATACAACTCCTACCATCAAAGAGCCCGGTCTCGTAGGAAAAACAAACCCGGAAATAAATAATGGCAGAGGTGGTTGGTGTACAACCTAGCAGTAAGGATTCGAAGTGTGTCACGCACAAGGGACCCACTTTTTAAAGCAGGGGTGGCAGGGTTGTAAGGGAAATCTTTACAGAAAAAAAAGTGCCTTGAGGGGCCAGCAAGTGTGAGAGGAGGCATTCCAGAGAGGATTAATCACAGTGGGGAAGGGAACTGTAGTGGATTAGAACAGCCTGAGCATTGGGCTGTTTGTGGACGTGGTGAGAGATGAGGCTGGAGAAGGCCGGGTGCTGCTCCTGCTGAGCCTTGTAACCACGTGAAGAACTCAGCTTTAGCAAGTAGGCTTTGGCTTTCGTAGGCCTTTTGAGTGGTGGCTCTGGCCGCGGGGATGACAAGATGTTGAGGGATCATTGAGCATGATGGTCAAGAAATAAATTTTTTTTTTTTTTTTAAGTAGGCTCCATGCCCAACATGGGGCCTGAACTCACAACCCTGAGATCAAGAGTCACATGCTTCACTTACTGAGTCAGCCAGGTGCCCCAAGAAAGAATTCTTTAGACATTGTATGGTACAACTGAGTAAGTTTTGGTAAGTAGCACAGGGACAGGACCCGTGGGCACAAAGAGCTGCACTTTTGCTGTATGCAGCTGGTGGTTATATGCTTAGTGCTCAAGGGGGAGAGGACGTGCCGGGAGGATCAGATCATAAGTATTGACTTCAAATTTCTACTCGTAAAACTACCTTTGCAAGATTTCTCTGGTGATTATCATTCAGTTCCATATTAACTATCAGTGAAATTTACAGGCAGTGATGAGACCCTTTAAGAATGTAGCAACCAGCACGCATTTGATCCATACTGAAACTATGCAGGCCATAGGTGAGCCTTTGGGGCTAAAGGTGAACATGTTTCTGCTTCTGTCCCTCATCATTTCCCCCTGACCATTCTTCGGTTCTTAAATATTTAAGGTTGTTGAAAGGCAAAGGGCTCATCTTCTGTAACTTCTTCAAGCTGACAGGGGTCGTAGAGATGTCCCTACCTATGGACCGAAATTGGCCACCGTCTGTCCCTACAAGTAACTATTACAGAAGGCCACTGCTGTAGAGTACAGAGGGTACATTGGGGTGAATTTGTTTTGAGTAGTAAGGCTCATCTATTGGCTGGGCAAAGGAGTCGGGAACTGCTTGCATGTATCTCAACAATAGGAGAGAACAAAGCAAAAGAGACAACATATTGGGATTCATATTATAATAAAAATAAAAAGTGTGATAAAGAAGACCCTTTAGGGTGGACCACAGTCCACCTCCTGACCAGGAATTTAACCAATCATTAAGGCCTTTAAGACAATGCAGGGTCTTTAAGAGCACTGACTCGGTTATTTATATCAGTAAGTACTCCTGTTATATTTTTGTTATAATCTGGAATATAGACACAACCTTCTACTTTAATAATGGCACATGTTGCTCCTTGTGCTGCTGTTAAGACATCTAATGCCATTCTATTTTGTAGAAATGTTTTACACATTTGAGTCACTTTAGTGTTTAATAATGTAATGCTATTTGGAGAGTCATTTAAGGCCTTAATTGTGTACTTATCGAGGGCCTCCAGGTGCCATATGACATCTTTTTCTAAAGCTACTGATGGAAGAAAAATAGATGTCAGATGGTCATACCCATGGAACACGGATCTTGTCCATCATTGTTTTAGATATGGAAGATTAGCTGGACTGGTGCTAGTCTGAGCGCTATGGCCGTGAATCTAGGCATAACCTATAGTACATCTCCCGGTCCAGCCTGGTGGAAGCCATGGCCACAGATTTGGCCCACATAACCATTGTGTTCCATTAGGTGCTAGCCATCTGACATCTGGTCACCTTGACTAGTCAGTAGCAAGTCAATGGGTTGCCTGTAAAATAATGGTGAAGTCACAGGCTTCTGGTGGTGGGGAGGGGAGGGGAGGAGAGCCATCCTATTTGGCAAATACTATTGGACCATGAATCAAGTATGGTTTTTCTGTTCCCAGCATAAAAGGGCCTTTTGGCTTAGTTGCCCTATTGTGGGAGTAAGCCATATATATCCATCCCATACTTGATATAATCTTTCCTGGGTGTCTTGATAGGAAGGACTACATACTCAGGGAATTTGTTGTCATGAGCCTATCTGTGGGTTGGCATATTCAGTTAAAATTTTGATAGTTTAAAGGGTGCCTGGGTGGCTCAGTCGGTTAAGCATCTGCCTTGGGTTCAGGTCATGATCTTGGGGTCCTGGGATCGAGCCCCGCCTTGGGAGTCTGCTTCTCCCTCTTGCTCTCGCTCTCGCTCTCTCTCAACTAAATAAATTAAAAATCTTAAAATTTTTTTTGATAGTTTGAGGATAAGAGAAAGGCTTCTTATGGCCTGGAGAGTCCCATGTAACATTTACCATAGGCAAAGAAACATTCTCTTTAGTAGTAGAAATATCCCTATATGTGCTGGTATTGGAGTGACTTCATGTTGGATTTGGTTAAAGGTGGCCACTGCATGCTTGCCTTAGGCCTCTACTTGTAATTTTACATCTATAGAGGTGGCTCCCAGGACATATATGACTGAGGAATAAAACCATTTAGAAGCCTTCTTTGCCTGATGTCTAGCCTTACAATATCCTAATTATGAGGAATCACTAGCAAGTGAGAGATGACTTGTCTTGGGAGATAAGGGCATCCCCAAGTGCATTCTCCAATCCAATTATAGGGAAAGTGGGGCCATCCATTATCTCCACAAGTTTATAGTTAATCCCATGGAGTGGGGTACGCTTTGACTTTTAAGGAGTGATTTGTTATTCCAGCTACATAGAATAGATCAAGGTGACAGCTGAGTTACACAACTGTTAGGGAGTCCATCCCATTGTCCAGGTGTTTAAATAATCATATGTCCATGGGGTCCCTTCTATTATCCCCACAGAGTAATAAGCAGGAAGACTGTCTATACATGAACTATTATGGCAATCTCTCTGAAGTTTACCTCAAGTTGTCTAGCTTAGGCAAACAACAAATATTTAAAGATTTATTTATTTATTTATTTGAGAGAGAGAGAATGAGAGAGCACATGAGAGGGGGGAGGGTCAGAGGGAGAAGCAGGCTCCCCGCTAAGCAGGGAGCCCGATGCGGGACTCGATCCCGGGACTCCGGGATCATGACCTGAGCCGAAGGCAGTCGCTTAACCAACTGAGCCACCCAGGCGCCCCAACAACAAATATTTAAAGACATTTAATCAAAACTACAATCTAACATCCAAAAGGATACATTATTGAAACACAATCTTTCTCTCTAAATTCACCCTTATTTCCATAGATAGCCAAATCAAGACTAATTTGGTTGTAAAACCAGTCCAGTTTTAACAAACTTGGCCTCAGTATTTACATAAGCTCAGCAAGAATAGTGATTAAACATGTAAGTTTGTTTTTTTTTTTTATTTGCTTTACTGGAACTTTTCATAAGGAATTTCCAGATTGAACTTTTAATAGCCTCCGGAGGCCAGAGCCAAGCCAAACTGTTGTCATCAGACTTACCTGCAATACC